GGACACTTTGGAGCCCCACGTGGGCTATGGACGTGTAAGTTTGGCCTCTGCCTATTTGCCTGATGTGGGTAGATTAGTGCATTCCAGAGCTGGCTCATGGCCGGCGGGCGTGAGGCCCCTCAAACAAGATGCAGTAAATCAGCTTGCCTCCAATTGGTCAAGGTCGTCCAGCAGAGAGGTTAGCATAAGGGTACCCTTCATTTTTGTAGTTTATTTTAGTAGGGGAACCCTCCCCCCAAAAAGAAACGGGGTGAGAAAGGGCACCTAGCTGGGGACCTAGTGGTCTGGGAAGAGGGGGGGAGCCCGGTGGTTTGGGCTGGTGTTCCGAGGCTTCCCATTTGGCCTCTAAGGGCTTCAACTCCAAATCCAATCGAAAACCAACTCTTTGCTGATCTCAAAGACGACTTGCTGATCTCAACTTAGGGGTTTTGGGAATTGGGGATCCGGCCATCCCTTAATGGAAACCACAGGGATGGTCTTAATACTGTGGATGGACGAAATCCATTTCGCACCACCTCAGAAACCCTGGTTTCTGATGATTCTCCTGCAAATACGAATGGTTCCCCAAGGTTTCAAAGTGGTGCAGGGTTTCGAGCATCCACAGTAGGGGTCGTTCCCTTCCTTGAGAACCAGCAAGATTAGAGCTTGCCGGCCGCAAGGCTGACCGATTCACAAGCCAAACCTGGTACTCATCCTTGAGTCGACCCGAAAGAAGTGAAACGACGGAAATGGGTAGCCAAACACACACCTATGTCTAGAGCCGAGGTGGAATAGCCCCGCAACCCCAGGGTCCAGGTGATGCAGACTTGAGCAAACTGCGCTCCGCGTGGAACATGTGAGATTCAGAATCCGTCCCCCAAATGGAACCCAACCGGCAAATTAGAACTTTCCTAGCGTCATCATTGATTCTGTTTGTCGATGTAATCCTAGCCCAAAACCTCATTCTTTGCGGCCTTTCAAGGTTCAAGGGCCCTCCCAGTGGGCCGTCACATGGTACCAAGTCCATTGCAGGCGATGCGATTGGTCTCCGAGCAGCTCTGGGTCTTTGCCCGCGGTGAGGACGAGTTGCACCTAAGGGCACAGTGATCAAAAGGAACGACCAAGTTTTTCTTAGCAACCTAGCAAAAGGAAGGTTGCCAGGGGCCCAAAGAGAAAACCTCCTGGAGATGGTCCCCATCAAGAACCCTATTAGCCCCGAATAGACCCTATTAGTCGCTATTAGCCCCTATTAAAATTGGGGCGCTCCTATTGGGGGTCCTCTTAAATTTGACCTGGTGGATACCAATTACCCGCAAAAAGGGAGCCAATATTCCTTTTGGTTAGAGGGTGGCTTCCTTGGTTGCCTACTATACCGTTGAATACCTGCCCAAAAGAAGCTCCCCTTACCCAGTCAGTTACCCCTATAGGTAACCAACAATACTCCTTTTGGCTTTTAAAGGGTGGCAAGCCCTTGGTTCCCTATGAATACAGGTGAATGGAAGGGAGACATTGGAGACAAAGAACAAGCTTTGTTCAAAGCCATCAGGGCAAATCTGGGGAACCCTGCTACAAACCACCGCAAACAATGAAATCATGAAACGGCTCGGCAACCACGGGAAACCCAAGGAATTGTAGCTGCTCAAAATGGAGGGCGGGGCAATGCTCTTCCGAATTCCCGTGAAACCATTGAAGGGCCCAAATCTTGCAACTCAAGTTGAAAGGATTTGAGTTGCCGAGTTTTGAACAGCCCAGCCATCCGGGCAAAACAAATCCAACTATTCTTAAAACCGGGACATGTTGGAACGCTGGCCCCGCGGCGTTTTTTCACCGGGACCTTCTTGACTCGCCGCTTCGCAGCCCCGAGGCCCGAGACGCATCCGATCTGATCCCGGAAGCCCCGAGGCCCGAGACCCGAAATGAGCTCAGCACCACGTACTCCCCGTTCCGCTGATCATCGCCCGAGCGCACCATGCTGCTGACCTGACGCACCCAAACCAAAGCTTCCAAAACGGAACGGAGCTGACAAACCAGTGGATCCCAATCAGTTACCCTGGAGCTGATTACAAACCCTACCAGATCCCAATCAGTTACCCTGGATAGCTAATCAAACATATTCCTTTTAATTCTTTTCAGCCCTTGGTTACCGAAACCAGGTGAAGGGAAGCACTAAAACCCTGGCTGATTGCAATAGAGGGCTCCGGATCTCTTTTAGGGAAACACGCAGTATTGATCTGCAAGGTTCATGAATCCGGCATCGTCTTCAGATGCCGATAAACACATAAACTACTGAAGTAGATGCCTAAGAAACAAGCTCCAGGAATCTGCAGATGAGCCAAATCCCGTTGTTTTTGTGGCTGGCAGCTTGGAGACGTTTCTGGCGTCTGCTTAGATTGTCATGATGCCATGAATTGAACAAGACAATTAAAGGCATGGGAAGGAGAATAAATTCATCATCTCACCCTTATCTACTTCTTACACCTCAGAATCAAGGGTGACATGAAGGACGAAGATAAACAAAACAAATCCTTGACCACAAGAAATCTCATGCACAGCCCCTGGATGAATGGAAGTCTCCAAACGCCCTTGCACCATGGAACTTGCCTCAAGGGACCCTGGTGAGAAAAGAAGTCAACTTCATGACCGGACTTACGTATTGTCTGTCTCCAAAAAAGAACCCCCCTTGAGCCCTTGAAAGAGATGGTTAAACTGCACATAAGAAACCAAATCAGCAGCAAACGAAGGCTACTTTTGAGAAACATTCATACTAAACACTTGCCTCCCGTTTTATCGCCAACTCCATGTCAACTGTATTACCCTTAAGTAGAAGAACCCGGATTGACAAACTGACCTCATCTTGAGCAAAGAGCAAGCGACCCTGGGCTTGCCTGCCGCTGCCGCCTGCGGCCTTCTACCCCTCTTTGGTGGAAATACCGCGACTCTGATGCTGATGTGTTGTGATGAATTTGTGTACATGTGTAGCCCTCTTGCGGAACTTCATCTGCCCCCTGTTTCTACTCACCAACTGGCCAAATAAGGTACACGGCTGCCCAGGGAAGGGCAGGCTTGGGCAGCCAAACAGGAACTCTGAGGTTTCCAATTGAATTTTCCCACCCCTCTAAACGACAACAAAAGACTTCTTGAGCAAGGCAAAATGAGCCAGTCTTTTGAACATGGTTCTACCTTTTTTACCAGCAATGGCCAATTTCGCGAGTCCAGCGGTGTGTTTGACACGCCTCAGGCACTTGGACGTGGGTGCGCTCGCACTGGCAAGAGAAGTTGTGCTCCTCCCCCTGCGGGCCTTTGCCCCGCACGCTCACCTGAGCATCTTCGATGGTGCACCCAGGAAAAGGGGACATTTGGGGGGTGGGGGGAGGAGAGGGGGGGGTGGGGGGGGTGGGGGGGGTGGGGGGGGTGACATAAGCCACCCAGGAAGGTTCTTTGCGGAATTCCCTATTTTCAGCTGATTTCCCTTTCCAAGATGATAGGGCCTTTTACATGTCCCACCAACACATGTCCCACCAACACATTGCACCATGTAAGCCGGAAACCCCTTTTTTCAGTCGCAACATGAGTCGCAGTTGATCCGGCGCTGACTTTTTGAGAGGTCTTTGGAAGGATCAAGTTCCTGGGGATTCCAAGGTGGGGGGGAAAGGTCTGACAGTGCTGACAGAAGACCCCATCGGCGGTCTTGTGCAGAAATCTGGCCGGTGTTCGGATTGGGAAATTTTGCCTGGATGAGAATGCGGATTTCCGAGTAGTGGCTTGCCGGCAATTTGAGAACTGGATGGGGGGCCTTTCTGCAGGGGCCAGGGTCCGGGGGGAAGGGAGGGCTGCACAGCCGTGACCCACATGGAGTAAATGTGTCCCCCAACGGTTGGTTTCCCTTCAACAAGCTCCGATGCACAAAGCAGCCCCTTTGGTTTCCCTTTAAAAACATCCAAACGAAACACGACTCCCTCGAAAAAGGGCTCTCTTTGGTCTCCCCATCCTCAAACAAACAGACGCACACAACACAAGAAGTCACGCCACCAAATACTGGTTGGCCCCGTTCAGGGGGCTCGAGATCCTCAGAAAACAAAGAAGAACACAAATCGGAGAAAGAACAAAAGAAGAAAAAAAAGAAACAAAACACAGAACGAACAAAAACACGGAAACCAAAAAAGAACGGAGGCCCGGCGCCTGGATGGAGTGGAAGTCGTTCTGCTTGGGCCGTGCCACCCAGCGCAAGATCACCCCGTGGGGCGCGTGGATGGCCGCGGCCATCAGCCGCCACTTGCCTCGCGGGAGCCGCGGCTCCGGCAGTCTTCGGGTTTTCGGTTTCACGGCGAGACGAGTTCTTGGTTGACGCTGGAAAGGAAGCCCAAAAAATAGTTTTGCAGTTAGGTGCTTGGATTTCAAGCACTTAACCACAGTAAACAAACATGTAACATGCTTCCCAACCATGAGTTCGACATCGCAGCGTTTTTCGGGGCGTCTCGGGGCATGGAAACCCACCGCGAAAACAGGGGTCCCCTTTTGGGAGCTGCCGTTTTTTGTTTCACCCCGCAAACAGCCCCCCGCAAAAACAAAACAAACAAGAGGGCGGGCTGCGATTTGGACATCGCGACTCTTTGACTTAGAGTTCATGGGTTCAATTAGGGAGGCCCCTAAGAAAGGAAGCTTCATGGTGTCGCTTGTCGCGTTGTTGGCGCGCTACAATTCACCAAAGCTGAAGCGTACACTCAACTCGTTTCCTGAGATAGAAGTCATTCGGTCTCCCAACAAGTGTAAAAGTCCAGGAGCTCAGGGAGTGAGTGTTGGCAGCCTTGAACATGAGGTAAGTTCAATAGTTTGAGGCTTCAGGCTGTCTCCTTCCCCTTTTGTGCTCCGGGAAAGACGTAACATTGCCCTGGTTTCCCAATTTTGGATGACTTCATTTTGGCCCCCCGATCGACCTCGTCGCACTTTGCCATCGTTTCCAGGGCTAGCAAAATCACACACTCTCTCAATGATCCTGGCAGGCAGGCAGGCAGGCAGACAAACGAACTGGCAACACAGTTGAAGGCTAAACAAAAGCCTTCCTGGGTCCTTCGTCTCTGGGATATTTCTCTGCTTTTCTCTTCTCCGGGTTATTTCCAGGAGACCCTCTCAAAACTAGATGATGTTGCTTTAAATTTTCATGAGTTGGAAGATGATGTTAACCCCGCAATAATAAACCCCTGGTTGATTAATAGGGGGGTGTCCCCTTTTAGTGGGGATTCATCACTTTTGGAGGGAACACCCCCCCCACAAAATGGGACAGGTTTCTTAACAGATTACTGGATGGGGGGGGGGGGGGGGTGGCGCGACCTGTGCTTCGCCCCTTTCGCGCCACGAAGGGAGGGCCCCGAGCCTTGAGCGGAGCTGTGGGTGAGGCGCAGAGAGCTGATCACCTGCGAGCCACATCCGCAAGCGAGCACCGGCCCAAGACGCTGACCAGACAAATGGCCATGGGTCAAAATCTAAATCGTACCCCCAGTGAACATCCCCATGCCCACAAAAATAGGTTCTAAAATGGGTGGTGAATTCACCTACCCCAAAATGGTACCATTGGTTTTGACCCACAGCCAAATGCCAACACACAATCCCAGCTTTAAACAGTTGTCTTCCCAAACAGCTGAAAGTCCAGGAAGTCAGGGAGTGAGCAATGACAGCAATGAAGGGAAATCAGGGCACCCCTTTTCAGGTCTTGAAAGTGGCCCTGATTGTTTAATGGGAATCAGCAAGTCCGAGCCTCTCATGTTGAACCCTGATTGAACCTGCTGGAATCATAGGGGTGTATCCTGCAAAAGTGTCCCTCTGAAATAGGAGAGCCCCCCATTGACCAACCAGAGGTTGATGTTTCCCTGAGTTTCCCTGACAGGATGCACCACGAACCTATATTCTATTCAAACTGAAGAGTACCGGCATATGGGGTGTTCATTTTTTTGTGCACTCGCGTGTATGTGTACGCATACGTATGTGTATATACATGCATATATATATATATATGTATATATATATATATATACTCATGCTTATGCATGTTGGGCAGACGAGTGACACTTCGCCTTTGTTGCATGTTGTCTTTGTCTTGCTCACTTCCGAGGCCGTGGGATGACGCAACGTGTTGTTGGGCTGTCGTAGATTCGGTGTAAACCAGACGGTCCAAGGAAGAACCAGACTTGGAACAAGGGACTTTGAAAACAATCTATGTACATGTCTTTTGTTAAGAAACCCGGCCCAACATGGCTTCTGGTTTCCTTTTAAAGCCACCAAAGTAAAGAGGGGTATCTTTAAAAAAGAAAAACATATCCATGTCTGAGGCGCCACAACGAAGAGGAAGCCATAGGCAGTTGATGTGTGTGTCTGTGTGGCATTGCCTTCTCTGTCACTGAGTGCAAAGGAAACTTGTCCGAAGACTTTTGGTCGGATTCTATGCTGGGAGGGTTAAAACAAAAACACGTCCCAGGTGAGTCCAAACAGGCTCCCGTGGACCAGGCCGAGGTTGACCTCCTTCAAAAAAGTCGCCCTGAAACGCTACGTGGGGATTGGGTCCAAATGAGCAGCGCCCCGGATGTCGAGATTCCGGATCCCGTCAGTGCATGGCTGACCGCCTGGGTTGTGTGTGTTTCCTGGTTATGAGTAAGTTGGGCCGGTTGGAAGTAGGCTAAAACCATGGTTACGAACCACTCAACTTGGCCGAACACCAGAAGACAAGATGAAGATCAGGGTCTTCCTCTTGGCCCCCTTCTGTAGGCCCTCTTCCACAGGCTCTATTCCCGGAAAAGAAGGTCGAAAGGTAAACCTGGCTCGCTGAAGCGACTTGGCTACCATCCCCAGTCTGTTCGGGGTTCATCTTCAGAAAATGGGCCAAGACCTATCGGACAAAATGGGTGTTTCTCTGATCAGTCTGTGGTGCTTGGTATGGGGAAACGGTCGACAAACAACAAGGACGCAACCAGAATCTACTGCACAACTGAGCCCCAGTGGGCAAAAAGGGACCCCCCCGAACTAGGCGCCAAAAGCTAACATGTAGGAGCCTGAACAAATACCTGTGTGCTCCTCATATTCCTTGTGGGGCCCTACAGGGCAATGGTGTTGACTTGTGAAGAGCGGAGCCTACGAATATGGCCCTTGACGGACCTGCAACTGAAGCTCCACGATGATGCCCAGGGCCCAGGGTATGACCTCGGCGCAGCGCGCGGAGAGTGCGGCGAGTTGGCCCCTTTGGAGTTCCCGTTCGGTCCATTCCAGTCACTTCCCGAGTGAAGGAACCAAACTCTTGATTTACCACGAAAATCCTGGGGTTCCGGTCAGAAATTGACCCAAGGAGTCGGGCCAACCACGCTTTCAACCCCCGGGACAATGGTCCAAACCCAAAAAGTGACTACATGCCAGGAACTTGGGGAGTGAGGCATTAAACAAAATCCTCAAATGCAGCTGCACTCTTGCCTACTGTGGTTCCCGTTGTTTGATCCTGGGACTATGCCTGCTTTTTCTCCTTGAATAGGAGATGGGGTGCAAGTGTCGACAAGAACACGAGAATCCCCGGCTGCATTAGTCTGCTGTTTTCTTACTGGTGCTGCATGAAACAGAAAAGGGCCAGGTTTTTTACACATGTGAGGAGACATTCCTTTTGGCTCTTTGTGAAGCTGTGCCTTGAAAGAGCCCGTAAGTTGTGCATCTTGACAACCTGGCCCCTAGATTCTCAGTTTCCGGTTTTCAAATTAGGAGTGGGATCAAACCCAGGGAGAAAGACTCAAACTTGCCCAAAATAGAAACGGCATTTTCCGGACACAGCCCGGAATGCGGTAATTGTCCAATGGGTGTAATCACAGGGTGTAATACAAACACCCTTAGACCTTTATGGCCCTTTTGAGCCGTACACACACATGCCATTACCGTCCAAACATGGGACAATTAGTGAGTCCTCTGGCGTTTGTGGTTCACATATAGTGAGCACCCCTTCCCAAAATGGCCACGATCTATTGGTTACTTTGACCGAACCTCTCATGTTGTTGAACCTCAATACGCCAAAGAACGCGTGAGCTTAAGACAGAATCCTTATTTTGGGATAGGTCTTCTCTCCCTCTCTGCTAGAATGTCAACAACTGGCAAATACCTTGCTTCATGGCTTCCAAATGTGTTTGGGGCTTGAAACAGGCCTCGTTTCCGTCAGCCCGATTCTTATTGAAGAAAGCAGGGCCCCTTTTTGATGTTCCTTGTGGATTGAAATGGAATATTGGCCAACGCTCTGCTATTTTTCGGTCCCGGAAGAAGGCAAGGAATCCGCGAAAGACAATGTCAGGGCACCCTCTGCTCATGGCTTGTTTTGCTTAGCAAATCCAATTGTCACTTTTGAAAGCTGCTCCCCCGGGTGTGGCTCTCAGGTTCCTTTCTCAGCTCACTACCTACTTTTGGGCTGGCTTCTAAGGGAACCAACAGGGTGCGTCATTTTTTGAGAGCACTCTTGTGCGCAAGCACAAGACACCACCATTTAGGTGGGTCTTTTAAAGAAAAACATACCCAAGGGGGTTCTCATCTCCCTCATTACCCCTCCCAAAGAACAACTCCACCGAAAGGGCCAAGATAGTAATCGACCCCTGACTCCCCCTGATCCGTTGTGCCTGCTGCTGGAGCATCACCAAGACATAAACCGCCAACATCAGAGAGCCTGCAGTTGGAGAAGCCAAGCAATGAGTTTGTCTCAGGGACACACACACACACACATGTGCTGTCCACAGGCGTGTGGTGGGTGGGTGGATGGGGGTGGGTGGGTGGGTGGGTGGGCGGGCGGGTGGGTGGGTCCGTGCGTGTGTCTGTGTCTGTGTCTGTGTCTGTGGATGTGTCTGTGGATGTGTCTCTGTGTGTGTGTGTGTTTCAATGGAGGCTTCTCTACTCCAAGTAGGGAGTTCTCAAAGGAGAGGGGGCCCTTTTTCGGATGGTTCAAGGGAAGACCAAAAGAAAAAGGTTGCCACCAGGAGGGAAGCCATGGAAACCAAATGATTGACAGGAACAACATTCTTCAAAAAAAGCTAACACCTGACCAAGGATGGTACCAACAAAAAGGAAAAAAGGGCACCACTGAACAACTGGGGTAAAACCTATGGCAAAGTTTGTCCCTCCCAAAAGCGGCGCAAAGCCGCGCGTCTCTTCGCGCGTTCGGGTTTCGAGGGGCCCAGCGCATTGAGCAGCGCCGCCAGCAGCAGCGGCCAGGTGGCGCTCAGCGGCACCTCCGAGCGCCGCAGCAGGTCCCGGCGTTGGCCCAACAGCTCAACCGGGCCCACCTGCGGAGGGAGGGGGGTGAAGGGGGGGGGGGGGTGGGGGGGTTTTACCCCAGTGGCCGTTATTAGTAAGGATCCATGAGGGCCATGTACAATAACCTTAGGATGGCACTACAGGAATAACCACGTTTATGGTTCACCACTACAGGTATGCTGCCATTAGTTGAGGCCACCGGTATTTATCAGCACTATTGGCCATTTCATGACGCAAACATAAGCCCGCCAAAGGACCAGGATATAAAAAAGCTGAACCTTTTGGCACCTACTAATGAACCAAAATGGCAAACCCAAAAGGTCAGCTTTGGGCAACTGAGTAAGATATTACTCCTTGACTTTCTTCTAAATATGATCTGAGCATTTTGTGCATGGCCCGGCAAGGATCATATTATAGAAGACTTTTCTTCGGTGCATATTCTATGTGATTGGGGGGGTGGCCACGCGAAAGCAAGCGAAAACAAGGCGTGCGTATAACTTACAACCAGAGAAGGCATCGAAGCTTTCAGGAAACACCAGGCAGCCTTGAAAAAGTTCAATGGACGCTCCCGCACTCCTCGATCCTTGAATTCTACCTATTGACGCTCAGGTCAAGGGTGCTAACTGATTTTGATCCAAGCAGCTTCCGCTCACAGTACCAATGTTTCTCGGTTGCTTTCTGCTCCCCTGCTAAAAGTTTAACTTTTAGTGGTTTAGTGGAAAACCCATCAGTTGGCATACACTTAAAGTCCTAACAGCCCTTGGCAAAATGCACCAAAGGTTTCTTCCACAAAAGATCCCCAAGGAAGTGTTCGATGCGGCGAAAGCTGAGCACCAGTCTGTCACAAAGAGGGTCGCAAGCCACGGAGGTCGAGGAGCTCCCTCGGTTTCTTGGGACACCAGGAAGCTACTTAAAGGCTACTTCGAATAGCTCACCTGCTGAGTGGATGGCCCCAAAAAAAGTCCAAACTTTATATTTGCCACTAAAATGGTCATCCCAAAAAGTTTAAAGTTCATGAACTCAGGAAGTGAGAGACCGTGGTAAGTGGTGAAGCCTGGAGTTATATCCCGCTTTTGAGACTGATTTCTCATGGCTGTTGTGAGCAGGGTACTTAGCAACTGGTTAAGCCTGGTTGTACCCTTAGAGGTCTCGGTTTTGTGGCTTGGGAGGAACAAACACCCGAAGTTCGATTTGTTTTTCGGACAAAAGTATTTTTCGGAGACATTGGGTGCGTGTTATTGAAACTGAAACCAGAAGTGAAGTAATTAGTAAGTGTTTAGAAAGCCTGGTTATAACCCACAAAAGCCATGGCCACAAGTCTGAGTGGGTCATAACCAAGCGTACTAACCACTTTCCTGAAGTACCTTGCCGCGTCTTGGTACGCCACGGAGGTCTCAGGTTCAGCTTTTGGGAGGAAAAAGCAGAAGGTCGACCTTGTTGGGGAGGGATATTTTTGGAGACATTGGGTGCTTTTGGAAGGAGGCTACCGCCATTTATTGGAGGGAAAATTGCATACGGACACCAAATGGAAAGCCAACAATGTGTGGGTTTCCCAGGCCAAGATGGTTTCTAAATGTATATAGCATGTATATATATATATATATTATGTATATATATATATATATGTATATATATATATGCGTTTTCAACATCGGCAGTTCTCAGAAAGGCCATTCAGCCACATGTCATGGTTCCAACACGGTGGACTCACCGGAAGGAGCAACTCGTGCCAAGTTCGCGGTCTCCGGGCTGCATGGCAGTCCAAGCAGGGCTGGATCACTGGACGGCTGTCCGCATTCTGATCCCCTACTAAAACCTGACTTGTGCGTCTGGACACCCAACCACTCAACCAACTAAAAAGCCTAGAAACAATCTGATGGGTTCCGAACCGCCCCTGGGGACAGGAACGCAAAACACCTAAATTCTAACCAGAATCTTAGGAACAACCACAGACGGCGGGTTGCGAACCCTTGGCACCGGAACGTGGGGAAAGACACCCGCCTTGGGCTCCCAGATCATGTGCCCACTGCGCTCGTCCAGGATCTTCTCATCGACCGCCCAGCGCCACAGCAGCTGAAAGGCCTCCGCGACCAGAAAGCGCAGCTCCGAGCGAGTGGAGTGTCCAGAAAAAAAAAAAAATCGACCTGTTTTTCAACAAACGACCCTTGAAAAAATCGGATTTCAGCCCATATTTATCCTTTTAGGGAATATACCATTTTTGGAGAGAACTTTGAGGGTCCACCACTAAAATGGTCCAAGAAGTGACTAAAGCCCAGCTTAGAAAGCCCAGTGCTTTCCAACGCGAGAAAACGATGCCATGCATGCCATGCGCCAACGAAACGGAGAAAAAACGACCCGAGTCACAGGCAACAGGCTAGACCATGAAACCTGGGTCTGTCCTTTTTCGTGGGTACCCTTATATGGGTGGTTTTAAAATAGTAAAGGGAAACCAACACGGAAACCGCCATTGAGGGGGCCCCTAAAAAACGACACAGCTGCCTGGAAACAAAAAGGTTTGGAACTGAAAGCTGCGACTCACGCCACTTTGCAAATCCAATTGGGACAAGACACATGTCTGAACCCACTATTCATTGGGGAAATGGACCCAACAGCAAAAACCAATCCACGCCACTGGAAGAATCGGGCCATGCGTCAAGCACACCGAAGGTTCGATGTGACCCTTCGCAGCCCGGGGCCATTTTTGGCCGGACAGGAATCCCCTGATCCAATCGTCAAACAGGGCTTCCTTCACTTTTGCCTTGAAAAATCACCCCACCAAAAGGATACTTACCTTCAACTTGCCCAAAAGGTATTCAAACGGAAACAAAAACAGGAAACTCCGTCAAACAAACCATTGTGGTAAACCTGCTGTGCATGCATGGACCGATTAGGCATGGTTTATGCAGTATCGAATTTCATCCTTTCATCCTTTCCAACTGGTGCAGATGTTTCATCTTTCTCCATCGGCATTTTCCCAGGCTTTCTTTTCTCGACCCGCAAACAAAAATAAAAAGAAAAGAAAACGAACAACACTTCCCAGGCGTTATTTTCTCGATCCGCAAACAAAAAGAAAAACAAAAAACAAAAACGACAACATACAAACAACACAAAACGTGCGAACGGTCTCCGCGGGATTTGAAAGGCCGCCTCGTTCTCCTGCTGCTCTCCGCTGCACGCTTCCAGCGACCGGAGCTCGCTCGCGGAGCCGCTCGGATCGGCGCGATGTGCCTGAGAGAAGTGGCCGGTGATGGCTCAAAAGCCATCCGAGTGAGGTCCTTTTCTGGGTTGCCCTCAGATCCCGCGCTAAAAGATTAACTTCTAGTGGATTAAATAGAAACTACCACCAAACACTAAAAGGCTAAAAAGGTAAGGAACCAGATGGCTGGGAATCACCAAGTTTTGGTTGAACGTGGATGGGGTCTGAAAGATTATGGATGACAACCAGGTCAAACAGGTCAACCAGGTCAACCATGGGTGTCCTTTGGGGTGAAAATAGAGGATGTTTTTCCGGAAATGTTGATGGTTACAACGAGGCCAACCAGGAATCGCCATTGATTTTGCCCTTCCTGAGTGGATTGACCATAAACAACATGTATTTACTACTAACATGATCTAGTTGGTGGTTTGGAGCTCGGCTTGGATTTGGATTTAAAGAGTCTGGTTCTTGAAGGCAAATGGGAACCCACCCCTGAGCCACGAAGACACCACCAGGATTCAAAGCCACCAACTAGAGAGAAGCTAAACAATTGCAGCGCAGGACTAGGTCCTCCAGATTTGAGAGGTTAGAATAAGGGTACCAACTTTTTTCTGTAGTCTATTTTAGTAGGGGAACCCTCCCCCAAAAAAGGGTAAAAGGGCACTACTGGGAAACCTAGAGGAGCTTGCCGAAACAGTTGGTTCCGATGGTTGTACATGTTGATGGGTGAAAGGATGACCTTGTTTTTCCAAAAAGCATCCCGGAACTGGTCAAATGACTGACAGTCTCGAAGGCACCAAGAAGGACACCTTGGTTTGGTGGGGGAGGCAAATGGTATCCAAGCAAACAAAGGAAACACACATCTGCTAAACAATGGACGTCACTCATTCCAGGGATGTTGCCATCACAACTCGGCAAAAAACGTTCGACGATCTCGTTTGACACGGGCTTCAGGGGATCATACATTATGGAATCTACTTGAAGAAGCCGGCATTGGATGCAGGCAGTGGATTCTAGGCAAATTGCCACAATTCCAAAACCAACCTTCATCGGTGAGCTCGTTTGACCCGAAGGTAAGCTCGTGAAAGAAGCCCAGATCAATGATAAATCAACCAAGCTTGGTATCATTGGCTGATCTCCCCCTCATCAAGCCACACTTAGTAGCAACTCAACCAATCAGGTGGCTCATAATACCCAGGAGGTATGAATCAGAGGTTGCATTCAACCTCGCCCCAACGCCTGGCACGAGGGCTTCGCAGACAGGCCCACCATGCTCACCGTGGCCTGACTCGCCATGCTGAGATTAAACCAGCTACGATTTTTCCAGGTTGCAAAATCTGCCAACCCCCGTTTTGGACTTGTGGTCTCTGTGTAACACATCCTGCAAATGGCTTCTGGCCCCAAGAGACGGTCACCCCCTCCACCCTGCTTAGGCCTCAGCTGTTTGAAACCAGGCGTCTTTCCATCAGGGTCTGAACTTGGTTGACGTTGGAAAGGGAGCACCAAATTCAAATTTTAGCAGGTCAGTGGGGATTTCCCACCAAACCACAATAAGCAAAAATGTAAGATGTGTCCCAACAACAACCATGTGAAGGGAGCATTTGTGCACTAAGCGCTTGTCGGCCGCGAATCACCTTACAAAGGTACATCCGCCTCCCGGAGGGCTCCCAAAACTCTCCGAAACACCCGTATCCCCAACTCACTTGCTGAGTGGATGGCCAAAAAAAGAACTCAGGAAGTGAGCCAACAGCTAAAAAAAAAAACACGGCAGCTCCCGGATGCCCGGACCCCTGAAACCTCCCGGGCCGCTTGCCCAAAAGGCCGAATGGGCCGAATGTGGAACAAGCACAACACACGACTCAACCCAACTACAAAAGAACAACACCAGTCTTAAAAAAAAAGGCGCCTTTTTGTTGGTTCTCTTCTCTCTTTTTCTCTTTTTTTTAAAGTTCGTTCTTGGGCCAAACTCAGTCTAAGAACAAAACAACACAGCCACACACAAAGGAACAACACCAGCGCAGGTGGTATCCCCAACAGCCCTGCAACCCCCTGGAACCCTTGCTGCCTATCTGGGCCTATCAAGCCCATAGCTGTCAGCTGTTGGCAAAAAGAAACCTGTGGACTCTTTCGTCGACCCGTGGTTCCCTTTGGTTTCCCCCCAAAGGCGCCAAAAAGCAAGAACCAACACACGACCAAACCCAAAATGGCGGTGGTTTCTCTTTGGTTTCCCTTAAAAGACAAAAACACCTTCCATTTGCTTAAGCCCTCTAGAAAAAATACCATATTTCCAGTAGTCAAGTGAAAATATAAATATTCTTAAGCAACTGGAACACACAGCCAAAAACCAACACCACCGATCTACAAAAAACACTTCGACGCTTGGAACTTCTTGCCTCATAGGGCTGTGGTGCCAACATGCCCGCGGAGAAGAGAGCAAAGAAGTGCACGGGGAAGGCCAGGTAGATGGAGGAGCCTCGGAAATAAAATAAAAAAAACTCACTGGCTGAGTGGATGGCCCAAAAAAAGTCCAAACTTTATATTTGCCACTAAAATGGTCTTCCCAAAAAGTTCAAAGTTCATGAACTCAGGAAGTGAGTAAACAAATAAAACAAAGAAGAACAAACACACACACACAGAAAAAAACAATTAAAGAAAAGTGCGCTGGGTTTCCTCGTCACAAGTTGCAATCGTCTTGGTTGCTGCAACGACCCCCCTGCAGAAAGTTTCTCCCTTTTTGGGGGTATAGTGAAAAACCCAGCTTGATTTCAACCAAAAAGTGAAAGAGTCAAGTGGGCCGAGGCTCCATTGAAAAGATCCAAGGCCACTTTCGGAGGCCCAACAGTGAGGCAACTGGAGGAACTTTTGTCAACAATTCGCGCGGGGGGGGGGGGGAAAAAAAGGTACCCGAGGGACCCGTGCGAACCACATGAGCCGGTGGCTTGCTTCCTCAAAAAAACGTGCCTCTGACTTTTTTTGTGTCTGAACTCTGGAGCTTCTCCCAGATGGTCGCTCGAAAAAATGAGCCACAGAGCGTGCCAGATAGTTTTTCTTGGGGAGACCCAACCTCAGATCGTGCACTTCGAGAACTGCCGACCACTTGGGCCCCGCAAGAGAGACATGTGTTGGGAGAGCCCTACAAAAGGAACCGAAAAGCCCAAACCCGGTCCCCGAGCTAGTGACTAAACCTTTTGCTGCCACTCAGCAAGCATGCCAGTTATATATGTGCTCATAAACGACCAAGGACACTTCCAGCAAAACCTCAAACCAAGGAAACTCCAAGCAACCATGTTCCAAACAAAACGAAGGACACTTCAAGCCACTCCGAACTTATCTGTTGAGTTGCGAGAAGCTTAATTTGGCCCTAGACTATCCTTCAATTTGGCAACCAGACTTGGTTGACGTTGGAAGGGGAGCAACAAAAATACTTTTCAGCAGTTTAGTGGGGATTTCCCACCAAACCACAATGAGCAAAAATGGGAAACATGTTTCCCAACAACAACCATGCAGAAACCGGAAGCTGTAAGCATATACAAGGGGACTAATATGTGGATATTCTCCAAATTTGGCGTCAAAACCATGGGCTTGCCGGACATAAATGCTGAAAAAACCTTACGGGTTAGGTTTCAGCATCGCAAGACTGGGTTGTCCAAACAAGTCCAAACTGACCCCCCGTTAAAACTTTAACTTTTAGGGAGGTAGTTAGTGGAAACCCAACAACTACTAGGTCCTCCACTAAAGAGGGTAGAATAAGGGTACCAACTTTCTTCTTTAGTCTATTTTAGACGGGGAACCCTCCCCCAACAAAGGGTAAAAGGGCACTACTGGGAGACTTAGACTACAAACCTCAGGACCCTAAGATGGCGCCGGGAACCAGCAGCCACACTTTTGTCCCAAAGGCTCATGAGCAGCCACCGGCCCTGCGGCAGATCCGGGCCCAGCACGGTGAGGTACACCACCCAGGGCCGATTCCCCTGGTCCTCTCACATGGGCAGCAGTGACATGATATGGCTGTGGCTCAAATAAATGTACCAAAATGGCACCTTGGTAAATGCAACCAAAGACTAGAAGCTGCGCAACCCTAGCTCTTTAATTTTGAGCCACACCCCTCTGGAGGTTCTCAAAATGGATCTCCATGACCTAGGAGGACATCTCCATAGCGGTGTTGCGCGCCAAAAGCCGCCCGGTGCCCGTCACAAAAAAACGTTGCAACATGGGCGTGGGCACTGGACTGGGTGTGGCCATGGATGGTTGTGAAATACGCTTCTCGCGCCACGAAACTGAACCACGGGACACCAACATGTGTTATTTGTTGGTCAGGGAAATCATCGGAAACACGGGTTTCTTAGGTGGTGCGAAATGGATTGCGTCCATCCAGTGTAGGGCTCCCGACAGCTTCCCACATCAAGAAAACAACTTATCTGTGACATGATGAACAGGCTGAGAAGGGTAAAGCTGAAAAGGGAACATCGTGATAAGTTTTGGGAGTCATCTTGGTACTTGAGTTTTACCAGTGATGTTTAGCTTCGCCTGAAAAGGGAAACCTAGGGACGCGTCAAGCTGGGTGGGTTTGGGACTGTAGCGCAGTGGGTTACGTTTTTCGGAGCCGAAAATCCGGGGGGGTCAACGAGTGATGGGATAAGGGTGGAATCCACGGAACTCTGGGCCGGGGAATGGCCCGATAATTTTGAGAACCTGAGCGTTTCTTCCCACAAAAAGTGTGTACCCAACTAATCAAAGGGGCCGTTTCCTGAAAAGTGTTCCAACTGAATCTTTATTTGGCAAGCCCAACCCAGGGACCAAAAAACCATAGAAACTCGGGCAATCCCTTAGAGGGGTAGTGGATCTGAGAATGTTTTTCTAATGGCTCCAGAGCATTGCAGACCTAGTAGTTGGTAGATGCCAAAAGCACGCATAGTTCAGGAGGCCTCCCCATGTTTTCCCTGGGGAACAACACCCCACCAAAACGAAACTCATTGAACATTGGCCCAAACTTGCTGGCTCTCGGGAATCAAGAAGGGTTGCGGACATGAACCTGGGGATTTTCTGAAAGGAAACCACCAGTTGGATGGTTCAGTCTGGGTCATTCCAACTCATCGGCCTATTGAACCAACAAAAAATGAACTTCACGAGAGGAGTCTATCGAATTCCCCCAGAGTTTCTAAAGACAAATCCGCAGCATCTGTGGGATGCTTGCATGTCCTGCGCTTGGCAATTACACTGAAAAGGCGCCAAAAACGAAATCGGAGAGCAAACGTCCTATGAAGGGACCCTCGCCTTGCGAGTTTGCCCTTGGGTTTGAACAACATCCTACTGCCAAAGAAGTGACCCTGGGAACGGAGGTCATGGAGCCTAAACTCCTGCCGACGCAGTAGATCCGAAGTAGCGCCAAGCTGCCAGCTACTCATATTCCACTGGCCCAAGCAACTGCCCCAAAAAAACAAAACATCTCGCCGCAATTTGTTTACTTTCCTGGCCAGCTACGCTCCAGTCGTGGGCCCCCTGGGTCCTGGATCCACCGTGCAATGGTCTCCAGCTCCGTCTCAGATCGCTTCGTCAGCGCCGGCGCCTTCTGCGCCGCTCCGCGAAACTCCGACTCCGCGGCGCCGCCGCGCAGTTGGAGGAAGCCACCGTGGGAGGAGAGGTCTGCCAGGATGCCTCGCGACACGGGTAGGCGACTCTGGTCAAAGAAAAGCCTTTTCTGATGCGATAGGTAGGGAATGACCAATTTTTCGGGTGGGAATCAACCGGGTTTGAGGGTTCCCTGAAAGGAAACCAAATCGGGAATGTTTTTTCTAGGGGACATTCCAATTCTCATTCCCTGCATCTCTCGCAAGTTGTGAGGCTAGGAGACCGATCCCCTCGCGCCTGTGGTAAGCGTTTTGCCGGGCTCCGCGAGCGTCGTGCCTTGGGCCACCGTGCGGCTTCGCGTCTCCTATGCCAAGACGGTGTTCTGACCCGGCAAAGGGCCACCCCAACGGAGCACACGATCAAACCGGGCGGGTTGTGCCGCTTTGTTTTTGGCAACTTTGGATGGTCACCCCATCTCACGTAAGTGCGTTGTTTTACCACGATATGTCCACCAAACCCCTGTTCCATTCAAATCCATGGTGGTTGCCTACCAAGTGGGTTGAACGTACAAGTAAGCCCGGGCCTTACCACAAGCGGCCAACAAATTCGTGCAAGGGTTGCATCCCCCAACCACTAAAACAGCGGATCATGAGTGGGTTTCCCGTTTAAACACTAGACGGGAACATCCAAGGAAAAAAATAAGGGGAACACTAAGAAACTCAAACAGTGGCAAAACACCTAAGCCAAGAAGCCAAAAACCCGGCCCTCACATACTTGAGAGGGTACTTTGTCACTATGGTTCCATTGGTAAAGAAACAACACGTGGTTCCAAGAGCAACTCTGTTAGCGCAACTTGATTTGGATAATGCCAGATATGCTGGTGTTTCTGTTGGCTTCCCTTTCAAACCAACCCTAGGTCCTCCAGTAGAGAGGTTAGAATAAGGGTATCCTTTTTCTGTAGTCTATTTTTAGTAGGGGAACCCTCCCCAAAAAAAAGGGTAACAGGGCACTACTGGAGGACCTAGTGTTGGTTTCCCGTTCAAACCAACCAACGGGGGAACCCTCAAAAAGAGACACACCCACTTCTTTGTCTTGTTCCTTTGAGTCTCAAAAGCTGATCTAACCGAGTCTTCGCAGTTTCGGAATTAGACTTCCCAAAGCAAATGCCCAAGGGAAGATGGGTGCAAACCATTCATATCATCGTTATGCGGGTTCTAGAGTGTTGAGCTCTGAAGCACAATGCTGTATAGCCTACACATTTACATGATGGCTGCGCAATGGACACCCTTTTCTCTTACCCAAGCAAAATAGAGCATGTAGCTTATGTGTATTGATTGAAAGTGATATTTCAACAGTTGTCACTTCAAGAGATAGCATTGGGTCACACCAACTTTGCCTAAAAGCTTGTACACTGGGTGTGTAACAGGGTCTGGGTGTGTAACAGGGTGTGTAACACAGCCTCCTGCACCTCCAAGGAATAATGGGTACAGTAAGTACTAGTAAAGGCTCCTAGGAATCGTTGTGTAAGAAGCATGGGATAAACTTGGGTGCACAACTTTGCCGCAACCAAAGCCTTGATGGCCCCCTTTTGGGCCGGGCCACCTCCCCCCGACAGTGGGTGGTCCCGTTGGAGATGTAAAATGCCATAAAGCTCACAAGAGTCTGTCTTCTTCGAGGGTTCCCTGTTTGAGCTGTCTTTTTAGACAATGTTACGGGAAAAAAGCTTCCAACTCATTTTGCGGGTTCCCTCCAAAAAGACCAAGCCTTGCCCAGCGGTGAGGGGAGGACTCTCTGAGGGCCCTCGGTTTTCGGGCCATCGACTCCTCGTCCGCCAGGGCGGCGGTCAATGGCCCGGCAGCTTGGAGCACCACGTCCGCCTGGTGCGACCGCAGCTTCACGTGCCCGCGGGCAGTGGCCTCGTCCCACCTAGATGCCAAGCTCGTGGGGGGCGTGGGGGCGTGGGGGCGTGGGGGCGTGGGGGCGTAGGGGCGTGGGGCTGAGGTTGGGGGGATGGGGATGGGGGGGGGGAGCCCTGATTAATTCAAAGCTCCCACAAAAACAACATGAGGGGGCGTCCTTCCTTTTTGTGAAAATTCCTTTCCAGGGGCACCCTCGGACCGAATGACTATCCAGGGTTCAACATTATCCGGGACCAAAGGAAGAAATTTGGAACAACACCAACGACCCAAAACTAGGACCAAACCAATCCACGATCCCGGGGCTCCATAGGTAGACCAGAGTTCATCAAAGGATACACCCACACAAACAAAAAAACGCCTGCGTCCCAAGGACGGGTGCTTTTTGTGAGTGGCCCAAATGCGTCCCTTGAGAAAGCCAGAAGAACAGCATGTTCCTGGTTACCGGAATCCAAAGCACACCAAACATGCTTTTCAGTGGATTGCTCATTGTGTTGAGGTTCGCACGGTTCGGAGTAGCCCAGTGGGCAATCGCCAGGGAAAACAACGGCAGGGGCACGACATTCCAACTGTTGGACCCGCTTTACTGGGCACTATCAAAGTACTTTCCTCGAAGAGGATCTGTGACTTCTTTGGGGTCCGGAATTAAAGAAAGTTGTTTATTCGGAGCAGCCAAATCCAAGCCCATTCTTTCTTACCTTCCCGGCTCACAGGCTCTTGGGATGCTTGGCTCCATTTCTTAACATCTGGCCAAAACCAAGGGGAAAACCCTCAGATGCCCAGTGGCCATGGGAGAAAAAGGCATCCTTTTTTGGTTGCTTGACTTTAAAGTGGAACCCTTCCCCGCAAAAAAGTGGAAAAGGGCACCGCTGGGCAACTGGGAACTGTCACCCAAAGGGGAAAAATGGCCCAACCAGCCCCCTAACATCCTGACTCAATGGCTTGGACCTGAGATCCGGGAACCGTCGACCTTCTTCTGGGTGCTTTGAAATCCGAAAACGCTGGCGGTACTCAGAAAGTCAGGGGAATACCTCAAGCTATGTGGCCATGGGGCAAAACCATTTTGGGGCGGATGAACATCCATTTGCCACCTATTTTGATGTTCACCAGGAGTACAGGGTTTTGACCTACTGCCATGTGTTGTCCCAACTGCATGCCCTCTGCATTTCCTTCCGGCGGGGCGTCTTCAATGCCAGTCTCTAGTCTTACTATACAAAGGGGAAAATAGCAATAGGATACTCCCGACCCCAATACCATCTTCAAGGGGGGGAATTCTGTGAGATTAATGAATGAAGAGTCGCCTAGATGAAACACTGATTCTTTAAGAAACAGTCACAATATGAACGTAGGACGTAGGTTTGTCTTTGGGAGGTCACCGTGTTGGGGAAAAAATCCCTTTGGACCTTTTCATGTTAACCTCCTCCATACCTCCAACTAAACCAAGGATCGTGCAAGGTTGCTCCACTAGAAAGATAGAAAATTCACAAGCATGTGTCAAAATCGGGATTTGGGACCCTATATGGATCTTGGCTTTCCTTCCAGGTCCCATTCAACCTGAACAAGCGCAACGAGCCAAACAAACACACACACACACAATCAGGTCTTCTGCTTAGGCCGCACTGGTGAACAGCGAAAAATACCTGTTGCCATGGTAAGTGGTCGCGGTAGCAAGTTATCCTCCTTTTTCCCTTCAAAGAGAGATGGCTCGGAAACCATGTTGCAATGGCCAGTGGTTGGGGTAGCAAATTCTCATCCGAGGCGCTTCATGGCGAAGACGCCCTCCTGCACGTCCACGTCCAGCTTCGGTGTCTTCAGGTTCACCAGGCGCGCGTCCACCTCGCCGAGCCGGAACTCGGCGGAGTCCCGGAGGACCAAATTCTCGGCCTCCACCAGGATGGCGTCCCCACCTTTGGAGGTCACCTGGGCGTTACTTTCGCGAGGGGCCAACCTTCTACTAACTTCTCCCTTGATGACCCTGAATTAAAAGGTTAACTTCGACAGGCTTGGGGCCATGACTTCGGGTCATGGCTTTGACAGGCGCGCGGAATCGAGTGAGACGCAAAAACGCAGAGTGGTCCCATGCCGGGCGCCATCCCACACATAGAAGGCAAACCCAACACAGAAGAGCCCGGAGGTAAACATTCTTCGTGCAAGGCAAGCTGCCAACATGGAAAAGCACAGACACCACGTACTGGTGAGGAGCCAGTGCGCCATTCACAATCGCGCCACGTAGGCGATCCCTGACACACCGGCCCACCATGGAGGTAAGCTCCACGGGCCCAGGAATCTTAAGTCGGGTCCCAACAGCCTGGACACCGAGGAAAACAAAACGCTATCACCCCAGGCAGGTGTATGGTACGTGCGTTGCCTAGTCACTGGCTCATCTGGCATCACACTCACCCTTCGGCCACACGGCGGAACAGGGACCTGAGCACAAGACTGTAAGGCCTGTCTCCACGCCATTCCAGCACCATCAATGTCAAGACTGAAAGCCGTCTGCGTTGTAATCTCCACTGCCGTGCACCACATGGGTCTGGCCACTCTGATTCCATCATAGATCTCAAGCTCAACCTGTGGATTGCTATGATGCCAGGGCCGGGAGGGTACACATGCACCATAGGTGGTGGAATCTGCGCCAGAAAGCAGGGTCGATCAACGTGCGCGTACGGGCGGAGAGAAAGGTCCCCTCATCGGCATGCGCAGTGCAATTCAGGGTAGCGCCACGCCACACACCAGGCAGCGCAAAAACCAGGAAGTCCGCAGACTCTATGCAACCTGCAATCTGCACAGCTACCTGGGGAGGCAAGCAAGGATGCAGGGCTTGCAAGGCGAGGCCAACATCGGAGGCGACGTGGCGAACTACAACCTACGGCACAAGGCAAGCACTGCACAACTGCGAGAGGCCCTGAGAGGCCAGCACGAACACAGGAACGGCGTGCGGGCGGGTGGTGGACGCAAGACCCCTCACAGAGACGCAGCCTTGCCTTGGGGGTGAGCCAGACGGCTTTTTGGGGCCATGACTAAAAATGGCGCCCAAAATCAGACAACCCGGTCTGCCTTTTAGATTCTTCAAATCCGCACTTAGGGCAATCCAGGATCTGAAGATTGAAGATTCTCTGACAACTCTTTCTGAAATTATCCAAATATGTACTTAGGGCAATCCAGGATGTGCTAGCACGTGCTAGCACATCCTGGATTGAAGATTGAAGATTGAAGATTCTCAGGCCACTTGTTCTGGAAATCTTTTTTTCTATCCTTAGGACAAACTGATATGTGCTAGCACGTGCTAGCACATCCTGGATTGAAGATTGAAGATTGAAGAATCCCAGAGAGAGTTGTCAGAGAATCTTCAATCTTCAATCTTCAATCCAGGATGTGCTAGCACATGCTAGCACATATCAGTGTGTCCTAAGGATAGATTGAAGATTTCCAGAACAAGTGGTCTCAGAACCTTCAATCTTCTATTTTTAATTCAGGATGTGCCAGCAAGTGCTAGCACATCCTGGATTGACCTAAGTACCGATGCTAGAATTTAAGTGTAAAACGGAGTGCATTTTTGGAGCCTCATTTTTAGAAGCTGGAACGTGTGTTTTGCATACATTTTTACAGCCAAAATGTAAATTTCTGGCCAAAAACCTGAGTATTCCAGGGGGGGGGGGGTACCATATATATATATATATATGTGTTTTCGGGGACCCCGTACAAAATGGTGGTTTGCCTGATGGTTGTCCACCAAAAACGGGTACCAACAAAAAAAAGAAAAATCATTCGACCCAGCGAAAGTGTTTTGCTTTTGGGTCCCGAGAAAGGGCACGTTGGCAACGGTCCGAAGACTTCAGCTGAAAGGACACGCCCAGAAAGGACAGCTACGAACGGGCCACAAGAAATCTATTGCTGCTGCTGCTGCTGCTGCTGCTGCTGCTGCTGTTGCCACTAGGGAGGCTTACTCGGCCAAAGCAACTTGCCGAAGTTGACAAATTGGCCAAACTGTGTGCCTGCCTTCGCTGGAGAGGCGCTATACAGCTGGACAAAACCCTTGTGGTTGCCTTTTGGGATGGTGATCACGTATGGGCTATGTCGGACCCAGTCGAACACGAACAAAACGACGGGAGACACCAAAAACTCGCAGGGTTTGTTGCTCCCATCCCAACTGTAGGATTCTGTCCATCCACACTGCCAGAGTTCAACACCAACCCCCTTAAAACTCCGAGCCCTGGGGAAGTTATTTTTTTACAGACATATAGCCCATGTTACCCAAAAAGTTGAAAAGTTGTGTTTTTAAGAGGTAAGAACACCAACCCCCCTGTTTCTTCCCTTTCTTGCGACGAAAGTTGGCCCTGATCAGGCCAGAGTATTGATGGGACCTGCTTGCTCACCGCTTGTCATGACTCCTCCCAGTGGCCATGGGAACAAAAAGGCAATTTGTTGCTTGCTTGAGTTACGGGAACCCTTCCCAACAAAAAGGGAAAAACAAGGCGAAATCCACTAGGCAACTGGGGGCCTAAATATGGTCGAAGTTCCAGGAGTCGATTCCCCATTCTTTGCAACCATCGCTCTTTGAACAACCAGTCCTTTTCATTGGATTTCTGGAGGTTGTCCAAAGAAAGAGTAGGATCCCTGGAAGGAATGGACATGGAAGCTACCCCCGCAATATTTTTCGGCCCCTCCCTCCTTGCTTTCCGCGGTCGAGGCTCCTTCATCTCTTTGGCATGAGGCCCTTCCGCCAACTCGAACCTCGAGCTTCCCGAAACGAGCGGCAAAGAAACGAACTCACTAAGCGAAGAAGCCGAGGAATGGATTTGATGGATTCCCCTATAAATACCAACAAACATTATGGATTCAACCACAAATCCTTCTGGTTTCATTATGGTTACAACCAATAAATCAACTACAAACAGTATGGTTTCATTCCCATGGCAACTCATTTTGTTGATTCGGCTCAACGCAAATACCAACAAACATTTATGGCTTCATTCCCATGGTCACTCATTGCGTGGTGGATTCGTCCAATCCGCCGCATGTGGGTGTTTCTGAATGAATCGGACCTGAATGGAAGGAACCCAAAAGGAAACCACCTAGCCTGGACGGGCCCCCCAATTTGGAGAAACACCTGTGTGTGTGTGCGCGTGTGTGCCACGTTTTTGCTTAGGATTTGGACCCCTCAGAATGGCTTTGGTTCTCCTTGTGGTTTCCCTGTAAAACCAGCAAACAAGGTGTACCCTTTAAAACAAGACACACCCATGTTGATGTGCACCAAAAATGGGCGTTCACAAAGTATAATGTCCAGAATGCAGAAAAGTGAATCTTTAGAGAACAGAGAAGCAGCTGCTAAACGTCTCCTCCGAACAGAAACGGAGAGGGTGTCACCACCAAAAAGAAACCAACACGCTCGCAAAATGCCAACGGAAGGGGTTTACACGTTGGTTTTTGAGCATTCAATGGTCACGTTTGCGGCAGTCGCACAAAGGAATGCAGCACGCTTCGCGTCTCGGCGTTGAAGCTTGGGGATTGCTTGGGTCTCGGGTCACTGGAAGGCCTTTCGAAGGGAGAAGTTCCTTGGCAACGACTACGAGGTCCTCCAGATTTGAGAGGTTAGAATAAGGGTACCAACTTTTTTCTGTAGTCTATTTTCGGAGAACCCTCTTCCAAAAAAGGGTAAAAGGGAGTCTCCGTTCATTTGACCATAAGTAGTGCCTACCAAGTAGTGAGAACCATCTCGACAGCTACCATAGCAGAACACTAACCAGGGGTGACAAACAAGAAGATACCTTTACAAGCGAAGGTTTCCTGGGATCCATGCTAATCATTTGCAGGTGTAAGTGAAGGAATCGAGGGCCTGGTTCAGCCCGCAAGAGTCACATTCACTCGGCCAAAGTAACACCAAGTAGGTCACATTTGGGGGGAGGAATTGTGTGGTCTCCCATTGAACCAACGAAGAAAACGAGTACACTCCAAACAGGAGAGAGGCAGAAGCAAGTACCATGCGAGTCATCATCAAAATCGATTCGGTATTCAAAATGGTCTACCCAGACGGAGGCACCCATTTATGATTGGGAAAGGAGCCCCTCGAAATTGGTGAGTTTTTTCCGAAGGAGTTGTCCTGTAAACGACAAGACTTGGTTGACGTTGGGTTTGGGGAGCAACAATTCTCGAATTTCAGCAGCTAAGTGGTTGGATTTCAACCACTAAACCACAAGAAGCAAAAATGTAAAATGTGTCCCAACAACAACCATGAAAAGAAGGGGCACCCTTGAACAAAACAGCCCTAGATGTCCACTTCCGATGATGACCATGGGTACAACCTACCGAATGGGTTGAACATCCAAGAGCTCGCTCGCAATCAACAGAAGTACTGCAAAAACAGGGGTCAGACAAAGGACAGCCCCCCGCTGAACATGTCTTTGGGCAGGGGTTCCGTGCTAACCTGCAAGACAATACTTCTCGCTGATTCTGGCTGGAGGTTAACTAGGTCCTCCAGATTTGAGAGGTTAGAATAAGGCAACCTTTTTTCTGCAGTCTATTTCCTAGTTAAATCCCATGTGTTGAAGGCTCCATAGCCCTAGGAGCCCCTTGGACCTTGTTCTTTGAGGCCTTTGGGGTTCATCTCTCCGAGTTTTTGTTGACAGCGTGGCTCTAGGTGCTCAGTAGGGATTGACAAGTGGAATGAACTGTGTGGGGATTCCATTAAAGGAACACCCACCAGCAGTTGGATGGTTTCAATCGGGGGTCTTTCCATTTCTCATTCCCTGCATCTCTCGCGCCGATCG